CTTACTGGCTATTTCCTCGAGGGCAGACACTTGATTTTGTCATAGCTGATACCTAAAATAGTTCCTGGCACATAACAGATGCTCAATAGTAACTGAATAAGTGAATTTTTGATTTGAATTTGACTTAAAAGCCAAAACATAATCAATGTTAATGGGCATTTTTATTTGTCTAACATTTGCTGCATTATTACCATAGATATTTTTCTCTTCATTTATATTAATAAAAGTAAATACTGTTTAAGTGTCCTTTAAAGTTTTGTTTTTGGACCAGATCGTATGACCACTAGTTAGAGGAAACAATGATAACAGTGTCTTTAAGAAAAAAGAAAGGGAGCAAGGAAGGAAAAAACAGGAAGCCAGCTCTACTTGACTGGAGGCTACTGAGCCTCCCGTGTCCAGTTTCTCTAGGTCTGGAAGTGAATACTGAAACTTTTCCAGTTCTCTGATGCTATTTTCAAATTTCCTCTACTTGATATCATTTTTAAAGTCCTTTCTCTTTCAAAGCTTATACTTCCCTCCTTACTTGCTTACCTAACCAACCTCCTGGTTGTTATTCTACATGCATCAAAAGAAGTGATCAAGACATCCAGCACACCTAGCTTTACAAGTTCACTGTCACCTTTACTCTGCATCAGCCACCCACACCTGTAGCCATGTTTTATTGTCAGTCAGAATTGTTCTACATAAGATCTCTTCCAGTAATGTCTCCTTCACTTAACTTCCTGGCTTCTTTGTTCCTTGATCAAGTTTATGACCAGTTTTTCCCTAGCCTGTCAGCCTCTTCCAAGCTTCCCTTTCTTCCCTACTCACCTGGAATACAGCAAATACCAGTTTGTGTATCTCAGAGATACTGGTACAGGTCTGAGATGAGGCCCTGGAATCTAATTTTTCAGTTTTCTTAGATCATTCTGGTGACAGGTCAGATTTGGGAAAGCTGTCTATGATAGGTGGTCAGAACTATTGTTTGACAGTATTTTCAGTATCTTTGCTTTTTTGTTCTTCATCTCACCTGGAAAAGTCCCAACCCTGAATCAGTTCAAATATTGGTACTTTTCCCCCTTGAAGCACTGAATACTGTCACAAAGTCCTACAACCACATAAACTGGTGCCAGTACCAAACTGTGGTCCCCAGCCTAAGCTGGCCTCTCATCTCTTTTTTTAACCTGTCATTAGTCAGTGGTATATACAGGTATTTTTAGGAACCATTTTAGACTTTCTTTCTGTTAAGCCCCTTGTCCTCTCTCTCCCTTTTCCATGTTCAGTAACTTCCTTGCCTGTGTTTGGAATAAATCAGAAAAAAGACTGACCAGCTCCTGTTCTCATGGAAGCTGGTCTTGGGAATTGTGGCCCTGTGAGTGCCAGCTTCAAGTTCCTATTTCAAGCTCCGCTTTCTGCCTTTGAAATAATCCACATCTGTACTCGTCGTCAAGTCCATTCTTTTAGTCAATAAAGGGTTATGCTACTCCTTGATGAAAGCAAGTTTTTATGCTTTTGATTCTATCCCTTCACCGACCTTTTAGTTATCGTCTATATTGTCAGCCTCTTCTCCTATAGCCCATTAACTTTCTCATCCTTAATAAAAACTTTTCTGACTGTGCCTCCACCTCTCTTTAATCTCGTCTCTGCCTGGTGTTTAGAAGCTCTTCAACCAAGTGCAATTTGACTTCCGTTGTCACCATTCTTCTCTTGGATCATCAAATGCCAAAGCTGTTGTATACTTTTTAATTTTTATCCTATTTACATCTCCTTCTTTCTTGAAGTTCTTTATTCCTTTGATTTCCCTGATATCATTTTCATTAGATTCTTTTTCCAGCTATTCTGCCTTTTCTTCCTTGGCCTACCCCTTAAACGTGGTTTGTCCAAGCCCTTTGGTTATTTTCTGATTGCCCTATCGGCAGTTTCATTCACTCATGGTTTTGACTACTTACATAGAGTGTATCATTTCTCTCAAATATTTGGCTCCTCTTACCACTTCTGTTTTATACTTCAGATTTTTGTAGCCAGTCATCTTCAGGATACTTTGCTTGAAATAATTCTAGTTTTACCCCAATACCAGGTTTTCCCACATGTATTTCTTCATATTGAATGATATGATCTAGCAATTCTTCCTACTTTCTAATGTAATTGAAGATCTTTTTTTCCTTTTTAAAGATTTTATTTATTTTCAGAAAGAGGGGAAGGGAGGGAGAGAAACATCAATTTATTACTTCTTGCATGCCCCCTACCAGAAACCCGGCCTGCACCCCAGGCATGTGCCCTGACTGGGAACTGAACCAGCAACCATTTGGTTCAGAGGTTGGCGCTCAATCTACTGAGCCACACCAGCCAAGGCTGGAGACCATATTTGAATAGTCTTAACTTCCTTTAAGCTACGTGTCAGAATAGTCTTTGTTAAAATTCTGTATTTCCTTTAGTCTAGAAATAGATTACCTTATAATCTAAAGGTTAATTCCAAGGGCCTAAAAAAATGGTGTCACAGAATACTTCATGGAAGAATACTATGGATTTTTTAGTAGGCCGAGGTATTTTTAATCATGGAAGAAATGAGTCACTAAATGATACAATACTGCGCACTCACTAAATGATACAATGCTGAGCAAGTAGCTATTTTTGCACATTAAAAAGTGGAGCCTGCTTTGACCAGTGTGGTCATTTGGTTGGGCATCATCCTGAAAAGCAAAAGGTTGCCAGTTTGATTCCTGGTCAGGGCACATGCCTTGGTTGTGGGTTCCGTCTCCAACTGGGGTGAGTATGGGAGGTAGCCGATCAGTGTTTTTCCCCCTCTCTTTCTCCCTCCCTTCTGCTCTCTGTAAAAAAGTTATAAATTTTTAAAAAATTTTAAGAGGTGAAATCCTGAAACAATTTTTTATCCTGTTTTATAGAAGGATAAATAGAATGTCATAATTTAACTGTAAAAATGTCATTGTCCAGTTATATGTAGTTTATTTACAAGTATTTTAGTCAAATAAACTTATCTTCAGTAACATTAAATTAACTCCATAAAGTATGTTTCATCAGTTAAAGTTTTCCATAAGAGTGGTTGTAGTCAGCCTGACCAGCGTGGCTGTCGGTTGGGTGTCGTCCTGCGAAGCCAAAGGTCGCAGGTTGGATTCCCCATTGGGGTTACACACCTGGGTTGCACCGATCCCTGGTCAGCGCATGTAAAAGGCAGCCAATTGATGTTTCTTTTGCAGAAGGATGTTTCTGTCCCTCTCTTCCTCCCTCCCTTCCCCTCTAAGTATACATAAAATCTTAAACAAAATAAAGCAAGAGTATCTCAAGGCCTGATGAACACCTGCCACTGGATGTCCATACGCACCTCAACCTCATCCTACCCTCTTCAGAAATGATCACCCTTTCCCCCAAAGGTGACTTTCTTTTAAAAAAAAGAGTGGTTGTAGTGAGTTTTTATGTTAATTTCTTCCACATCTCTTAGCATTTACAATTAAGAGAGCCTGTATGTAGTTTTATATTGTGTATATTAGCAAGCCTTTATTTTTTTTAATCAGACCTCTAATAACATCACTTTTCTGTTTTGGAAGATCAAAGCCATCGGCCAGACAGAGCTGAATGCAAGCAACCCAGAAGAAGTGTTACAGCTGGCGGCGCAGAGAAGGAAAAAAAAGTTTCTCCAAGCAATGGCAAAACTTTACTTTTAAGCAGTTAGTTAAAATTTTTTAACTTTATTCTTTAAACAATAGGCTAAATATAAACAGTATTAAAAGATGAAGTATATATACATATGTACATATTTAGTGGTGTTTTCTTTTCAGACAAAATACTGAAACAGTTTAAAAACTAAAACTATACAGAAGACTTCATTCCATAATAGCTTAAATTTATAATTTCTTCAAAGAAGAGATTCACATATCTAACAGAATAAACTAACAATCTAGTATATGTTTTCTAATTTAATCCACTTGAGGTTAAAATTTCATTTTTAAAAAAGCAAATATTTATGTAGAATTAGGTAGTCTATATATAGCAAGTTCTTAAGTGAAGTTTATTTTGCTTTTGTTTTTTAATAAATAGATTGCTGGGAGTTAGTATACATTTAATACTTTTCCACCTTAAAAGAAGTTTAGGTCAGGTGTTAAGCTCTATCACTTTGACACTGTCCTTAACTCATGTAGAAATTCAAAAAGGACCTTAACAGTTTTGCAAACATAAATAAAGCCTTAGTCACACTAAATTTTTTAAAAATTCCTTAGGGATACCTTAGAGTAATAAAGTGACTTTCTCATATAAATAGTTTCAAAGGGTAATTAAGTTTTTTCATTCAAATTGTGATGCACAAAAAAGTTACTATAAAGCAACCTGTATGTCAAAGCCCCAAGTAAGAGCTACAGCGTTTATAATTTCTTTGGTATTCCCACTGTTTAGAGCGCAGTTTAGACACCATGTTCTCCTAAGCCTTACAGGTTAAATATGTTATGGTAAGGCAAATACACTAGTTAGAAAACAGATTAAAGTTTACCATTTGTAAAAATTCAAGTTTTATAATAGCTTGCTACAGCAGCTGTAGATAACTTAGTCACCTTATTACAAAACTAAACTTTTGTAAACACGTTTAAATTTTCAAGAACCAGATTGCACTAAGCAATAGTTTATGAATTTTGGGACTTTAAAAATTAGATTCAAAGTACTATATCATTTAATGTACCCTTTAAGGTAGCACTTATCTTGTCCAAAACTTTAATGATACAATTCCTGGTTTATCAATATAAAGACAGTAACACTGGATCAAAAAACTTTTTGTGGCATAAATCATGGCTGGCTTCTGTCCAGTCACCTTGGGAGTGAATTCATCTTTGTAAACAAGTCCTGCTGTTTCTTTAAACAGCTAACACAGGAATGAAATACATTTCTTCCTTAGTGCCAATTTTAAGTAGTCTTTTAAGTCAAAGAAGGGCAGTGAAATTTCGGAATTGGCTAGGACAGTCAGCACTGTTTCCCTGTAAAATTTAGTAGTTCATCTTTATGAAATTCTACCCAGTACTCAGTCAGTACTTGTCTGCTTAGTTAGCTTCTTTATGTTTTCCTGGTGGCTTTTCAGTGCTCTTCGGTGGTGTCATAATGCCTCCACTGCACACTGGTGACAACTGTCCCTGCTTCCTGAAGGTGTTTATGTAATTTACTTCATCCTACACATGTGAAGAAATAATGCAGAGATTAACAGCTAAGATAACGCACTGATGTGGTAAAATAAAGTTAAACCTGACTTTTGAATACTAATTTGAGGCTACTTAGGCCTAATATAATAGTCTCTTTTATGTCTTTGCAACTTGACTAGTCATATTCTAGAGGTCAGCCATTTAAACAGTTGTAACTATGTGTTTTAAAACTTAACCTGGACTACTGGCATTGATCTTAAGAAACTTCATGAATCCTGCTTTGACCTCAAAGTTATTTTGTTAACTTTTCCTTATTTTGAAATCATTGTGCCCATTAGAACTTTCTATCCTCTTACCGTCTTATACAATTGCCTGAAGTATTATCCTGTAGTATCCTTATTGTCAGTTTCAGTGACTTACTAGATAGTAAGACCAAAAAACCCCACAAAAAACATACCAGCATAGCCAGATAATTTGTATGGGTCTGGATATTGTGTCTGTCTTCCATAGAAATCTTCTTAAAAATCTTCAGCTTCACTGGACTAGTATTTTTAACTACGCTGACAAAAGGCACCATCCAATCTACACATTCAGAAATGCTGTCCCATTCCAAACCTAGATGGAAAAGGGTTATTAGCAAAATGTGAAGGTTACATCAGAAAGTATCTAACATAAGCCTCATGAATTTGTTCCTGCTTCCAAATTTAAAGATAACTATTTTAAAACTCATAGAAAATAAAAAAACATTTTTAGCAAGTCAAAACTGGTAACACTCAAACTATATCATGTGACTATTCTGAGGGATAAAAAGAGCTTCTTAACCAGTACCTTCTACATAAGAAATTAAAATTGTCAAAACCCAAAGAACTCTTGAAGCAGAGCTATAATCACGTTAACTTCAAATAAGTTTAAATTCCATTTGATCTTTTTTGTTTGTGGCTATACATTGAGGATTAGAAAGAACTAACAGAAAGGAAGGTAATCACTACACTGATAAATGTTTTCCATTAAAATTTTAAATTGCTGTTTAGCAGCATGCTGAAAGTACACAAATTAATAGTCTCTTTAAAAGCGCTGAACAGGTAAGAAGTAAAACAATGCCTTACCTGAGGCTTTCTTAACGGCATCAATAGAGGTAAAATGGCACAAGGCAGCAGCAGCCAGTATTCTGTACTGGAACTCTAATGAATCAATGGCGAGAATACACAGATCTAAAAGCTAACAAAGGAAAAAGCAAAAGTACAAGTATTTAGGAGAAGGATAAGTACTATATATTGCTACTATGTATCAATAAGCTAATATTTTAGAGTGTTGATGATATGTACTACATGCCAAAAACTGCTAAAACTAAAGGGATCCAAAGATAAATAAGCCACTACCTTGAAGGAAGTCAATAAACAAGCCACTACCTGTCCAGTGGAATAAAACTTAAATTTTGTTTGCTGCCCCCATTGGCACAGTAGAAAAATGAGTAGAAGTGTTGGACATGAATTATTATATACCTCTAGAAATGGTTTCTACATTGTTTAACAGCTTATCAAAAATTTGCCCTCTATCAAAAGGGTATACATGGCTGCTTATGATAACCTGGGATGTTGTGAACCTTGACCAAAAAAATCCTTCATTAAAAAGCTTTACAAAATAAACCAATTTCAATGTATTTAGTGGTTATCCAGTTTCAGTGTTCACAATGTGTTGACTAGATTTTTACATCCTACATACAGAATAAGAAATGTGGATTTTCTTTACTTACATATGGCAGTTACAGTAGCCTTAAGATACTGTGAGAAGTAGACAGGAAAGAATGGTACCATCCTTTAATTAGTTACTTTGTTAGACTATCTGTTAATATGCTGGCATAGGAAAGTTTAGTTTGAACTTAAATTTTTAAAAATTGTTTAATTCTAATATATAAAATAGGTACCCTGTGTATTCAAATATAAGAGAGTAAAATTACCTGAATAATTTAATACCATTATAAAGCCTGAAGACAACTGGTTTAAAAATACCTTTTTCCTCATTTTATATCAAAAAGAGGTATTTAACTGTCTATTTTGGACTCAGTTTAAAAACTTGTTTTCTAGAATTAGCAACATAAATACTGGGGACAGAATTTTGAGACCAGAAGTTTTGTTCTAGTCAATTAAGGAATAAAGTTAATTCAGTATGCTGTCATTTTGTTGATTGGCCTATTTAAGATTATAAATACATTAAAGAAAACCTATAATTAACAACATTAGCATATATTCCATTAACAATGTCATTTAATACCTGAGCTATCTGAATGAACTTTTCCTGAGAATACTGAGGTAGAAGAACTTTTGGAGCATCTTTAAGAGCATCAACTTGGAGGAAGAGATTTAGCCAGGAGATGACTGTTACAGGACAAAGTTCCCATTTTAAAGCCTGTTAAAGAAATTAAAATGCTTGTTAATAAATGTAGGTACTTAGACACCACACTATGAAGGTACTTTCTTCACTAGTCATTTCAGAAACATTCTGCTTTTGGCTTATATCTTCTAGGAGTTTTATTATTCTGACCCTTTTTATTTTTCTTTTAGATATTTATAGATAACCTCACAATCTGAAGTTGCATGTGTTTTATAGTCTATTATTAATATAGACCCCTTCATTATTCTCTGGTTGTCTTTATTTACAAAGTTTGTTCAGCCTATTATTCATTCCTGCTTGTCTTCTTGCAGCCCGTGGTCTTCCAAATTTGTTCTCTACTCTATTACAACTGCCATTTAGTTGTATTCAATGACTCCACACTAATCCCATTCAGATCTTCCGGTAATTAATTCTAGACTTTTTATTACTTTTTGTGATCTCCAATGATTTCTGGTCAAATGTAAAAGTTTAAAAAAAAAGACAAATCCTAAATTATATCTTTCCCTCCATGAAGTCCAAAATAATTAAGGGAGAACAGAGGATCTTAACACCTGTAGAACTGCCCAGATAATTCCATCTTCTCTTTACATCCTCCTTATGTTATACTTCAAGCCTGAATCTGGATAATTTTGTTATTAGAACAGTATAAACATGCCAACAAGATCTCATTTTAATAGAGCTATCTGAATGTTTAGAGTTTGTAAATATAACTTACGATACATAAATTTATAACTTACAATGTGTATAGTTTATAATTTAAAAATTAAAGTCATATTGATTGGGTTTTCTTACATATCCTATTAATAAACCCATGATGTCCACATTTATTAATATACTTTCTAGTAGCTTTCTTTCTTTAATCTCTAACTGAAGGCCTGATTAAATACTTACATGCCTCTCTCCTCCACTTTTCTATTAATAGCCCTTTCTCTGCATATAGAAAAAGGCAGTGAAATAATACCCATTCTCTTTGTCTGCTGGAAGGAGGGGGAAATAACAGTTTTGAGAATTACTATATATACCTGATAATGCTAACAAGTGAATTCCAACTACCTATATGTTTTGAAAGTGTTGTCCTTTATCACTTTTAAATTAAGAAAGTAGTATATTCTCAATATAGAAACTTGAAAGATGAAGAAAAATAGAGTTTACAGATTAAGTAAATTCCTCTCCCATCCATAACATTGTCAGTATTTTGCATTAGCCTCTTAGGACTGGGTCCTAATACTAAAACATCAGCTTTGATTACATGCATTGGAGTCTCTGAGATTCAGTAAAAATTACTGTTATTAAATTACAACTAGAAATAATAAAGATATAATTATTACCTTTAATATAATGAGTTCCATCCTTAAGATATCCTCTTCACTGCAAGCACCATCAGTGACATAAGCAAACTCTTGGAGCTTAGGAGCATAGATTTCCTTTAAAATGGATTTTTACATTAGTATTAAGCACAGTTGAGATTAAAATGAAAGAGTTATATACAAACCACCTACAGGCTTCATTTTTAAGTACAGCTTCACAAAATGATTATAAATTTCAGTAAAATAATTCTACAATAGCCAAAGCAACCTTACATTTAAAGGTATTTTTCATATCTAGGTTTAAATCAGCCAACTATATTGATTGAGACTTATTTTTCATAGATTTGATCTTGAATTGTAGTTAATAAACAACAGTATTTTAACCAGTCATTTCAGTTGACACGTAAAAAACCAAACCTGTTTTAAGATTGCCTAGTATGTTGGTCAGAACAAAACAGTACAACACTTAACAAGTTCTAGAAACTGAAAACATTTCTTTTACCCTGATATAAAAGTATGTTTATCAAAAAATATTTTGTGCAGTTTGGCTGATGACAGGTCTGCTTTAACAGACCAGAGAAGAACAACTAGAATGATCAAAGGAGCAGAAGTGATGCCTGCCACAGATGAGAATAGGCTAAGATCAATATTCAGTACAGTGCCCTGGCTGGGTGGCTCAGCTAGTTGGAGCGTCATCCCGTGCACCAAAGGGTTGCAGGTTCAATCCCAGGTCGGGGCACATACCTAGGTTGTGGGTTTGATCCCCAACTGGGGCGCTTACAGGAGGCAACCAATTGATATTTCTTTCCCTCCCTCCCTCTCTAAAATTAGTAAACATATCCTCAGGTGAGGATTAAAAAAATTATAAAAATTAAAAAAATTATTTTTAAAAAGATTTCAGTCTAGAAAGATGATCTGTAACAAAGTATGATTTCAGGTAAGAACAGACTGAAGACAAACTTATTCACCAAGTTTGGCAGATTTAGGGGATAGCCCAAATCTCCTTTTGAGGGGAAAGCTCAAAAGGCAAATTTGGAAGAAAAAGAATACTCTTAAGGAAATTAATGCATAATTCAGTGCTTTTACTCTCCAAACAACACAGGCTTCAAAAGTTGGAGGTACTAATAATATTCATAGTGCATTAAGAAAATAACATCATATTGAGATCGTGAAGGAAAATCTCAGGCAGTGAAGGGGTTGCCTTCTATCCTGGCACCACCATCAGATGCAAAACTATTAGGCTGCATATAGACCATTGTTCTAACAAAAAAAGCATTTATTTCATTTGATTGGTTAGTCAGTTTTCAGAGACCATTCTATTGAATCCAAGTGTTGTAATTACGTAGAGGGGGACAGCATCAGTATATTTTCTTCAGCAGAATGAACCATGGAACATTTCACCTAGATATTAATCCCAGACATAATAGGCTTAGATACTAAAATAGAACTCTGATACTTATCTTTGTATCCAAATCATAAATAAAAATGTATTGGAAAAAATACTCATCTTTCCTAAGGAGTTAATATCAAAGTAGTAGTGTTTTCTGGAATTAATATGTTGATTTTAAAAACCAGGTAGGTAAATATGTCTCTGGATAAACTTTGAAAACTTACCTCAAGTTTGGAAGCAATGAATAATGAGGTAATTCCAATGAGTTGAAGCATATTTTTATTTATATCCTTTTGTGTCAACATAAATCTATCAAAAAAGTCTTGTGCAAGATAAAATGTTTCTCTATGAAGTGTGTATACTTCACATACCTAGACAAGAATACAAAGATTTCAATATTGCATGAATTTCTCCAAGTTAGAAAGCTATATCTTAGCATTCTTAGACTGTACAATACTTTCATAAGCCCAACTTTGCCTTTTAGGATACCAAAGCTAAGACTGGGGGTAAAAACGACATGCTAGTACTGATAAGATGACACTATTACTGTCCTCATATTACAGTTTTTCACATGGACTTAATTACTGTATTTATTCCCAGATAAATTTACATTTTTACTGACTATGAATGAGAACTTTTTTCTATTTTCCTAATTGTTCATTGTTGACAAATAGGCAAGTTTTCATGCTTAGTTTATATTCTTAATAATTCTAATAGTTCCAGCTGATTCTCTTCATCATTATAGACATTTAACTAAAAAAACTACAATAGTGTTCGTTTCAGTGTTTTTATGTGATTTATTTTTCATGTTTTACTGCACTAAAATTATAGAAGAAAACAGTGAATAACTAACATTGGTGATAGACAAAAATCTTGTCTCTATATCTTGTTTTGCACTGCAATGGGAATTCCCCTAATGTCTCATTATTGTTAGTTACTATTAACAATAAATAGTATCTGTCATTTCTGCACTTATTATAGAGAAAGTTTTTGATTCCCAAAACAACTCCATGAAGTAGGAGCCATTATCCCCATTTGATTTGGTCAAAATGTATAGAGATTCTGATAAACAATGTGTTAAGGAAATCTATTCATAGTTAATTATGTATTTGAAAATCAGAGATGGATACAGAATTTCAAAAAATCATGTGTGTTGAGACCTTATGATTTAAACTGTTTAGGTAATAAACTGTTTAGGTAGTAAACAGCTTAAACTATTAAGGTAATAAATCGATTTTCAAATGCTGAACCATTTTTCAAATGCTCAAAGAATACAGGGTTGGGCAAATGTAGTTTTACAGTTGTGAGTATACAAAAACAGTTTATTCTTTTATTATTCACTATTGTACTATAAATGTACTTCTGCTGCACCCTGTATACTAAGACTTAAAGCAGAGTTTAACAGTTGGACTTGTTTTGTTCTATACTGTTTTGCATATATGAAGAGGAGACCCAAAAAAACCCAGGATTTATTTATAAAAAATTGTGTATTTATTTTTACATGTTTAAACTTTGGTCACCTTCAAAGTACCGTATTTTTTGCTGTGTATAATGTGTACTTTTTGGCCCAAATTTCTGAGGAAAAACTAAGGATGTGCATTATACGTGGGTAGTATTAATTCTATATTTATATAGGATAGAATGAAAAATTTTTTTTCCCCTGGAAGTTCGGGCCAAAAGTATGTGTGCACATTGTATGTGGGAGCACATTATACATGGCAAAATATAGTACTCTCCATTTTATGCAATACACCTACCAAGACATTTTTTCCACTGCTTAAGTTTTTGACCTCATCCACTTTGATGCCTTTTAGTGCTTCTGTGTTTTTTTGTTTCACCTCTTCTGTATCAGCAATACTTTTCCTTTGAGGACTTATCCAGGGAAACAAAAAAATGTTGCTCAGGGCAAGATTGAGTGAACAGGGAGGGTGGGTCATGAGGGCCATACTGTTTTTGGTCAAGAACTGCTGAGTGGGTTCTAGCTGGCGTGGCTCAGTGAATGCTGGCCTGCGACCAGCAGGTCACTGGTTCAATTCCCAGTTGGAGCGCATGCCTGGATTACAGGCCAAGTCCCCAGCAGGGGGTGTGTGAAGGCAACCACACATTGCTGTTTCTCCCTTTTTTTTCTCCCTCCCTTCCCCCTCTGTAAAAATTAATAAATGAAGTCTTAAAAAAAAAAAGAAAAAGGACTGCTGAGTGGTGCATTCTTAAATCACCTATTATGAAATGTGCAAACACATTGAGTCTTCAAAAAAAATTCACTGAAGCCAAACACAGCCTCTCACAACTCCAACTGGTACACAGATACAGACAGGTTCCTAGAACATTAACTTTGTTGGGGAGGCCTGTCATTCAGAAGATAATTTCAGGGTTTTTTTGGGGGGGGGGGGGGGGGGGGGTCCTGCCTCATATAATCGTATATATAAGAGAAAATAGGAATAAATTTGATAAAAATGTAAGAAAAATAATTGCGCTTAAATTGCTTAAGCACAGCTAATGTAACAAAGTAACATAAAAAGAAAAAACATAATTGTGTTTAAATTGCTTCCATGATCACTAGACAGAGAAAAATCAAAACCCAATCACCTTCTTATACCCACATGATTGAAGTACAATCCTTTCTAGTCAGAGTAAGGAATTAAGATGATCTGACTCAAAAGGACATTTTGTAGTCCTAAAAACATTTCTGAATAGGTTCTGACAGATTTGCTTTGCCATGTTACTCCACCAAAAAGCCTATGGTTTTTCTCCCTTAAAATACATCAAACATCTGTATCTATCTTAGAGACAGGGAATCTAGAGCAAAAATCAGTTCATCTTCAACATACGTGATCATTTCCTCAATAATACTTTATTATTCAGAGAAAGGGAATGGATTTCAACAAGAAAGTTCTAGCACACATCTTTAAGAGACTTTAGGATCATTATTCCTTTAGATTATTGGTACAGTGTAATTTCTGAAAGGAATAGAAGTATATAATAAAGGGAAGCTACATGGAGCCTAGAGAGCTTAGGGCTTCTGGATATTCAAAGCCTCTGTTGTTAAGGACATAGAAATGGGGGTTATAAATCATAATTTGATTTTGGTGATACAGAAAAGGACTTCTAAGGCCCTGAAGCCTAGTCCTGGTTCTTCTACTTTGCAAAGCAGAATTCAAAACCTTGTCAACCACATATTCTGTTCACCTTGAATATCTTCAGCACCTAGAATGATGCCTGGTACACAGCATATCCAGATAACACGAATTCTTAATTGGATTTGGGTTGCATGGGGCCTAGTGGCTGTGTCCTCATGATTTTATTCTTAGAGACAGCCATTTTCCATTTTGGTACCATCAGCTATAGTAAGCACCTCCCCAAAAGATGGATGCTGCCAGTGGATAATACACCATGAGAGCACATGGAAAACACGTTTATGTCTAAATATTTTCTTCCATCATACAGAGAAAAATTCATATTGCTGGAACGTACCTCTAAAAGCCAGTCAAGAAGTATTGCCCTCATCTGTGGTTCCAGGTCAGAATGCAGAACTTGAAAATGTTTGTCATGAACATACCGGGTCTCTTTATTTAACATGTTTAGCCAAACATCCTTTGAACATCCCCAGCTATAAGAAATAGGTGAAAAGAAATAATTTAGCTATCTGTTACAGAAAATAGACTCAACTTTCAGACACCGAAATCGAATTTTCAATTAAAACTTGGAGAAGCTCTTAAGCTAAGCTAGGAGAAATCTGTTGCCTTAACTTTTAGAAACCATTTATTTAGTATGAAAAAGTAGAAGCCTGAAATTATATAGCAAAAACCTGGATTATGATAACCTAAATTGATAGATTTCAAGAGTGTTTTCTAGTCCCCATTTATTTATAATTTATAGGTCCCTGTTTAAGATAACCATGTTTTCTCAAGAGCAAGACTAAAAAGGTAAGTAAAGCGTAAGATCCCAGTGGGGACAAGCCTCAGTCACCTTCAAACAGGTCAATAGTAGAGTCACCCACAGTGGGGTAAGGAGAGATGGTATGGGGAAAGGGAAGAATTGGTAAGTTTAAATGTCTGAGTCCATTAATTTGCATATTAAAGCCAAATATAAATTACTACACTAGATGTTTTGTACAGGCTGTACTTCCTAGTCCTATACATTAACTAGAAAAAAATGTATAGATCTTGGTAAGAAATAAATGGGGTTGATACATCAAATGCTAATGCTGTACACGTTAAAAAGCTTCTATCTTAATTTAGATTAATTAAACTCCTTTAAAAAGGTGATTCAGTTCCTCTGATAAGCCTTACAGTACTCAGCAAGCAAATGAAAATAACTTTATAAAATCAGTTTTAAATTCCCCTATCATTTGCAAATAGCACTATTCACATTATATATGCTTAAATATTATTAAAGAAAGCATTTCTTACAAGTTTTTCTATCTTATGAAGAGAAAAAATAAAGCAGTGCCATATATAACAGTACAATTTTAATCTGACAATAACTGAAATTTTTCTTACCTTAAATCAGGCAAAGGTGAAGGATTAATAAAAAGATTTTTAAATCTGTAATTTGTAAATCTGGAGAAGTCACTTGTTCCTATTTCTTTGTGCGGTGTTTCAATGATAATGCAAGGACTGATCCCCCCAGATAATACAGGTGGCCAACAATTCTGTCATTAAAAAAAAAAAAAATCTGTGCAATAGGAAACCAGCTTTTGTCTGGGATCTTTCATAAATGGAAGCTAATATTTCTAAACAGTCTACAGTTTTCCCCAAGCACCATCAGCTAACATGCTGACAATGTAGTTGAACAAGCTGACATTTATAATTTATAAACCATATAGTTCATATCAACCTTCATAAAGAGGGACTCTGGCCAGGTAGTTAATTGGTTAGAGCATTGCCCGATATACCAAGATTGCTGGTTCTATCCTGGTTCAGGGCACATACAAGAATCAACCAATAATAAACGAGTACATACAAGAATGCATTAATAAATGGAATAACATATCAATGTTTTTCTTCTCCCTCTCTTATAACAGCCCTGGCTGGTGTGGCTCAGTGGGTTGAGAGCCAGCCTGCAAACTGAAAGGTCGCCGGTTTGATCCTCAGTTAAGGCACATTCCCGGGTTGCAGGCTGGGTTCCCAGTTGAGGGCGCGTGAGAGGCATCCTCCCATTGATGTTTCTCTTGCACATAGAAGTTTCTCTTCCTCCCTTCCCCTCTCTTTAGAAATGAATAAATTTTTTAAAATCTTTAAAATAATGCTTTAAAAAAAGTAACAGGACGTTTTAGACAAAATACAAGACATTAGGTATTGAGGGGAGGGGAGGAATAACAATACATTTGTAGTCGGATACTAATAACTTTCAGGATTTCAAAATTGAAGTGCTCCCTCCCTTTGTATCAATAGTGGCAAGGGCACCGTGTTTATGAAAAGCTCCACCCCCCTCCGCGTCCCCCCCCCCTCCCCCGACCGGACACCCCATCATCGTCTCAAGTTATTCCTCCTCTGATACTTTAGATTACTTGCAGGCAATACCTTAAAAATGGAAGCAAGTGGAATCAATTACTTAAATACTACTTAAAGGACCCTTTCCCCAACCATTGCTGGTTTTAACGAGAACCACTGTCTCTAAAGTGCTTGCTTTACAACCCATAGGAGGAATAGGTAGCAAAGGGCTGGGTGCGAGTCTGTCAGTGACCTCACATCCTATTTATGCCCCAAGGAGCAGCTATCAGGGCCCTCCACTGCAGTGAGAGAGGGAACAAAGAGCAGTGCGTTGGACAGATGAGGCGGGCCCCGGTGCAGTAGGCAGCTCTAAGAGGGAGGAAATTTACAAAAAGGAACCAGCTGCTTCAAGGCAAACTTTGTCGCTGTGAGATGAGGGCACATACAATCCACCCTTAAGACAGGCGCCCTCTCCCTGCTGACCTCTAGGGGCATCAAAAGGAAGTGTCAGAAGAACCTTTCTAGTGAGTGCAGAACCAATCCCTAATATTACTCTTCCTGCTTGTTTTCCCCAAACCCACCCAGCCCAGTTCTGCATTACCCTAATCTCATACTGTTGTTTCTTGGCGACCTTCTCCTCTTTTCTTTTTTTGACATCCTGAGAAACAGAAAAGACTACTGTTAAACTAAGGTCCCAGCAAGCAATTTCCTCTCCTCCCTCTCTTCTCTTAACTTACCTGGGCTGTTTTTCTCTTCTTGGCCTGAATTATCTGGGCCTCCTGGGGGGAATCAGTCTGGCTGGGCTGGGGCTGCTGCTTAGCTTGCAAACGGATACTATGGTGAAATTTTTTAAAAAAGAAAGTTTAATTAGTAAGCCATGCATTTCAAAGGCGGCAGCTAACATTGAAACATATCTCCAAGACAAATAACGTTACCTGCGTCTTGACATTCTCTTCAAGTGTGTAAAACCTCTGGAGGGGAGAGAGGAAACTGGAGTCAAAACACACAGCCATCCATATTCTCCCAGTGCCAAGGACACGCGGATTCAGAGGTTACAGCCAAGCCCTCTCAGAGGACGGCCTGAGCCATCCTACCATGCAGTCCGGCATCATATTAGCTTTCTAATGGTATTAATTTTGTACACATCCCTGAACATTTCCTCAACATACTGTGCGGCCGGGACGCGAGTCTTAAATATTTGCAAAGCACATCCCAGTATCCCGAATGCGCATGGAGGAAGATCTCCCCCAAATGGGTCTTCTCTGTATCCCCCACCCTCGCCCCCGAACCCTCGACTGGGGCTTAGACAGCGCCCCATTCTCCACCCCCTGCATCCTGGATGAGCCGCGGAGAGAGGGGGTTGTGGAGGTAAAATGCCGTGGAGAAGCCGGTTCCGCGCCAATTTGGAGAGCGGCGGTGGCGGGGAAGCATGGGGCGGAGGGAACTGAGACTTGTGTCACGTCCTTCACTCTCCTTTCCCTCCTTCCCAGCCCCACTGGGCCCTGCTCGTCGCTTAGAGGGGGCACCTGGACCCCGGCTCCAGATGGGGGTGGCAGTGAAAGAAAGAGGGTTAAATTAAAGAGGGGGAAACTTCGGGTCGGGGAAGTTTACTCCCCGTGAAGGGGACCCGGACACCCATCCTCTCCAGCGGGATAGCTTCCCAAATGTGGGTGGCAGAGAGAAGCCCGTAGGATGAGAGGCTTTTCCGTGGCCGGGCACTCAGGGGCAGCGCTCTATCCCCCGTCGCTTCCCCGACCCCCTGCCAAAGGTCCTGACAGGGGCTAACCGCAGGGACCCATCCTCACCAGCCATCTAGCTCTCAGCCCTCCCACGTTTCTTCCCTCAGGCTATCCCCCCCGCGGAATGGAGCAGCAGGGGTGGGGGGTGCTTTTTTCCCTCCCGCATCCCACCCTACGCACAGCGACTCCTCACCGTCAGACCCGCTACAGCTCGGCTCTCAGCTGGCGCCGGCGCCAACCCAATATATAGGCCGGGCCGGGCCCGCCCTGCACGCATGCGCCTCAGACTGACACTTCCAGGCAGCGCGCTTTCCTCCCCTGCGCGCCCGCGCGGCTAACCCGCAAGCCCGCGCGCGCGCTCGGCCTCGGTCCGCTTTGGCCCTTCCTAGGGGGACGCAGGACGTCTCCCAGGCCCTCAGTCTGCGGCCACCTGCGTTCCACTTCACCTGCCTACGCGGCCCGCCGGCGGGAGGGAGTCATTCAGAAGCTCCTCTTCCGCGGCCCCGTCACCCGCCGCTTAGCTTCCGCACCTCCCGCCAAAGTGTTCCTGTTCCCTCACGCCCTCAACTCCCAGATCCTGAGGGTGTCAGGCCGCGGCTCAGCTCCGGTGTCCTAACAAGGGGAAGCGTCTGAGCAAACATAGAGTGGCTAGGATGTGGCCATCCTGTGGTGCACGCTGTCCATCCGGCCAAGGCCAAAAGGAGCCCAATTTTCCTAAGAGACGCAGAGACTGAGAGGACCGCCCCTGAGGGAGGAGCGCATCTTTGGCTGGTGAGCTGACCAATGGGAGGCGACGACAGCAGCACAACGTGGAGCGGCTGCAGAATGTAAACATAACCGGGCGCGCGGCGGGCCACTTGTACCCGAGCGCCACCCGCGTCCCGGAGCCCCACATATCTGGTTCCAGAGCCCGCCGGGGGCCGCCACTGGCCACCCTGGGCAGCCGTGCTCAGGGATGCCTATCTTGCACCTTGCTCCAGCCCGCCGGCCCAGGTACGGAACAACAACTCTGTTTTCCCGCTCCCTGCTCAGCCAACCTGCTCACCCTCCCCGTGGTTGGGTCACTCCGCACCCTGCCTCCCTGCCCCAGTTCGGCAGCTTCCCACGCTATAGGCACGTTCCCCGCGCAGGAAACGTTCGCGCCATTCTGCGCCTTCCCTTCCTCTTTTCCCACCCTGCAATTCCAGGACTCCCAAGGGTAAAACACCCTTTCGGGGCGGGGTCGGGCTCCTCCTCAGAAGCGCGGTTCCTCTCCCAGGGCCGGGCCCGAGCGGACAGCTGTCTCGCCACGTGCTGGCCCGGGTCTGCCCGCCGCGCCCCGCCCCACCGCCGCCTGCGCGCCCTGCGGAGCCCGCGCGAGCGGCCAGCGCGGGAGGCAGCCCGCCTCTGAGCTATAATGGGAGGAGGCGGGCCCGAGGCATTTCCTTCTCTTCGACCCTCCATATCTAAACTTAGGGCCCCCTCGCAGCCTCTGTTAATGCCCTCCGCCCCAGCACTCCCCGAGACTGGACGTTTCCAAGGAGGACGTGTTGATGATACTTCGCAAACAGGTTTTGCGGCGGGACCTGTGGGGCAGGAGCTGCCTACGGGAACAAAGACTCCCGGGGTGCAGGAGCTGCGCGAAGGCTCCCCCGAACCCAGGCAGCTCCAGGCAGACGCAGGCCGGCCGTGCTCCTCTCTCCGCCCTGGCTGCGAGTGAGCTGCGGGAGAGGGCCGGGGAGAAGGAGCTACCGGGGCTGGCCGGGGGTCGCGGCCGAGGCAGGAGCCTTTCCCGAGATGCACTAGGAGGCGGCGGCCAGGACCCACCCGGGGTCTCCTCCCCGCTCCTTTTGTGCTGCGCAGTTTGTGCGGGCCTCGGAGCCTAGAAATAACGACTGCTCTTGGGCTTTTGGGCCAGGGCCAGCAGTCCTTTTTCCCACTTTCTCTTTCGCGGCTTACAACACTCTAGTGACGCGGGCAAGGAGAGGTTTTTTTTGTTTTGTTCTGTTTTGTTTTTCCCGAAATACGTGCATGAGGAAATAGTGAGTCTTGCCCAAGGTGACAGAATCAGAAGAGACTCAGAATCTTGTCAGTCCCAAGAAACTTCGTACTGTTTCTAATTCTTAGGATGACTCTGCCGTTAGGGAAGGAGTTTTACGGTCACCAAAAACGCGGTTAGGGTGTAAAACTTAGAGACCTGATATCATGATGTAAAGAAAAAGAAAAGGACCCTAACCCGTGTGGCTCAGTTGGTTGGGTGTTTTCCCGAAAAAGGGCACCGGTTTTGATTCCCGGTCAGGGCGCATGCCTGGGTTTCGCTTTGGTCGCAATTGGCGTTGGGTGGCGGGAGCGTTTAGGAGAAGCAACCGATCTATGTTTCTCACATGATGTTTCCCTTCTTTTCATCCTTTCTCCCCATCTCTCAAAAAATAAATAAATAAAGTCTTACAAAAGAAAAGGGAGGTCTTCACGCTGAACATAAATGGAGCTGGAAACCCGAATGAGTGAAATTTGATAATCTGAACGCCAGGAATATTGATTAACATGTGTGGGATTAATCTTGGAGTACTATATTCCCAGCACTGGGCTAACTAGTAAATTACTTGAAAACAAGACACTGGAATTAGAAATGTACTTTGGTCAATGCCCTTGCCTATGAAATGAAGTGCAATCATAGTAAAGGAGAAACTAGAAACACACCCAACAGGGTGACTTTTGCCGTGTTACAAGTACCTGGTCCCTGGTCAAGTGAGACTAAGCAGAACATGGGGTTTACCTGTCAGTTGGATTGAGGTTATAATCCTGCTCTGCTGCAAGTTACCAATTTTTTCTGAGCATGGGTTTCCTCTAAAAAAGATAAAACAACACACTCATTTCAAGAGTTGTTTTAAAGATTACATTTGGTAATGTATGTAGAGACTCCTGCATATCTGTTACAGAGCAGATGCTCAATGCGAACTCTTGGGTTTCCTGTCCACCCCCGTTACTAGTTTATACCCATAGAAATTAAGAAAAAAAAAAAAACCCAGAAAGCTGAGTTATAAAATTGCTGTTTTCCACAATTTTGTTCATGTAGTTATCCTTTTGGGTATCTATTTTAGGTATCATCATTCAATGTGTTACCTTTGTTTTATATTGTTATATGTTCATTTTTAGCTCCTCCTTTTACCACTTATCTCAGTTTTAAAATTCAGTTACTTTGAAATGTGTGAAATTCCTGTATACTTGTAATAATTTTAGAAATGTTGGCATTTTCTACAGTATGTTTTCTCCATTGTACATGCAAAGTTAAAACACCATGGTATGTAGCTATTGGCCTTCACAATGCTTTCATTTTCAGAAGAGAAGGGGGAAAAAAACCCCAACAAAACCTGGAACATTCTTAGGGGCACTGGTTTTTTAAAAATTAGGCCCAACCCATTTATTTCTTGAATCTGTGCATTTTAATCTCTTCTGTAAAGTCTCCCCAGGTTGTCTCCTCTGCAGTTATGCTCACCTCACTGGACAATAATTACCTCTTCAAATGTCTTTTATTTCCACGTAGGCCTTGGACCTTGTTTTGTCTGTCTTTTAAGAGCCAGGACCCAGCAGTTCAGAGGCATACATAGTAGGACCTTAGTAAATATTAAACTGAATGATGCATAGGATATTCTATAAGGGAATTTTTCATTCTCTATGGTTAGAGTGATGGATGGTAGAATTATTTGTAATTAGTATTAGGGTTTTTAAATTAGTAAACTGTTTTTTAGAAAAGCTTTAGGTTTACAGAGAAATTGAGCAGGTAGAACAGAGCCTCTGTATACTTCTCCACCATCCCCCCTGCCGCCACCACTTCATGCAGTTTCCCCTACTATTGACACCTTACATTAGTGTGCTACATTTATTACCATTCAAACCAGTGTTGATGCATTTTTAACTAAAGTCCATACTTTATTCAGATTTACCTAGTTTTACCATAATGTCTTTTTGCTGCCCCAGGATCCAAGCATCACACTTAGAAGTCATGTCTCCTTAAGGTTCCTCTTGGCTGTGACCATTTCTCCGACTTCCCTTGTTTTTGAGGTCATTGACAGTTTTGAGGAGTGCTGGCCAAGTATTTTGTAGGATGCCTTTCTATTGGAATTTGTCTGATGTTTTTCTCATAATTATACTGAGGTTACGGATTTGGAGGAAGATCAGAGAGGTAAAGTGCCATTTTCATCACTTCATATCAAGGTTACATACTATCAGCATGGTTTATGACTGTTGATGTTGACCTTGATCACCTGGTAGTGTTTGCCAGGTGTCTCCGTTGTAAAGTGACTCCCCCCCTCTTTTCATACTATACATTTTGGAAGGAAGTCGCCGTGCACACCTAAGGAGCGGAGAGTTATGTTCTTCCTCCTTTAGGGTGAAATATCTACATAATTTATTTGGAATTATTCTTCATGGGAGATTTTTTCCCATTTGGTTTAACTTGCTTATTATCCATCTTAGCCAAAATATACCTATAGGAAAAAATTCTTCCAAATTTTGATTACACATTATATTATTCCTTTTATTGACTCATCAAAAAATGTTTCAGTAAACTGTCTTTTTTTTCTTTTTAGCAGTGCATGGCAGCACAATGACCACTAATAGAGCTCAAGCTGTCCCCTGATTTATGCCGGGGTGCCCGTGATTTTAACTGCCATCACATCTGCATTATCGCAGCAACGACAACACGGTGAAAAAGACAAATGTCTTAATTTTACTGTGAAAATGCTTTTGACCTTGTGGTCCCCCTGAAAGAGCCTTTGGGACCCCCGGAGGTCTATATTTTGAGAAATACAGATCTAGTTTTCAAATTAGAATGCTGGAGTCATCTTAGCCATTTCTTTATTCTTTTTTTTTCTGAGCTCCATATTCATAGTTAGCACTTCCTGAGTGAAATGATGTGCTAAGCTCTACGCTAAGCTTGGAGTTCATTGTATGAACTCCAAGAACACTGTGAGGCAGGTGCTGTTGCTGTCATCGCCTCTTTACAGTTGAGGAAGCTGAGGCACAAATATTTACTCAAACCCCATAGTGGAGTCTGACTCTGGCACCCCTTTGCTGTGCTGTCTCCCGTTACCATGTATTTCCAGATGAATCATCTTTTTCCCCCCTCTGCCTTAGTTCAGGATTCCAATTTTTCTTCAGTTAGTACAGTAATGATCACTTGGGGTTAAAGGCCAAACCCCTTAACACATGAAGCCTCTTGCACCCAGGAAGTTCAACTGCATGGTGTTTTCCACACACCTGCCCTGCTCACTTGGACCTTTGCACCTGTACCTCATTCTCTGCCCAGCTAACTCCTGTGTATCCATGAATGCTCAAAGAAACACCACCTCCTTCAGAAAGTTGTCCTGCCTTGCACTGAGGTAGGGCTCTCCTTTACACTTTTTCCTCCCCCACTGTCCCCTCCCCCCACCACGCATGCCTCTACCACCTTACCCTTACCAGGCTGCAGGGAGCTTGGAGGGCCGGGACTGTCTCATTCATTGTTGGGACTCTCATGCCTGGCTCACCACAGCCCCCTTTGTGGGACAAATGGAAGTCTGCAGAGCGATGCTCACATGGTGTGGCTCTTATAACCAGACACCA